GCTAGAATTTTGCCTCTTGGGATTTTGCCAAATTCGCACAAATCTTCAAAAACAAAAGGACTGATGAGACCTGCAAAACAGAACAACACTAAGATCGGTGTGGCCTTTGCCACACAGGCTCGATGCCTAAGTTAGTATCGGAGTAGACGGGTATAGAGAGTAGGGTTGTTAGGCATACCTCCAGGGTTTGGCTTACCCTTGTATTTATAAAGGTCGAGTCCTAATCCCTTCAAGATCAGTTGAACCCTAATCCTCCTAGGGCTTACATTTCTTAAATCATTATACCCTTAGGAGATCACATAGTGGGCCTTACGCTGTACTATTCAGGACCGAGACCAAGTCGACTCAGACTGAGCTTGCACAGGGATCGGGATTCGCTGGAGAGGTTCTCGGCGCCGAGCAGCCGAGGTCTGGTCAGCCACAGTCGGCCCGGGTTGCAGGGTCCCGACCCACTTACCTCTTCGGGTTCGCTCCTTCTTCGGCTTCCTCTCCTCTTTTCGGTTTGCTTAATCTGATCTCTATTTTCTTCCTATAACATTATTATTATGGGTGATTGTTTCTCCAATGCTACAAAACTCACAAAGAAGGTCTTGAGCTGGGGCCAAGAATCTCGAATTCCTAAACTGAAACATAGCCACAGTTGAAGATTGATTTTGATGTTGTTGTTGTGGTCTGAGTTCAAAGGATTGATTTAGAATGAGGTGGGAGGAGGAGAGAAGCAGAGGTCCACGGGCAGGGAAGAAGAAAAGGGATAAAGAGAGAGAAAGGAGGGAAAGTGGGGAAGAGAGAGAGAAAAATAAAATAAAAAATACAAAATAATGACACATATATTAAAAATAATATAATATTAAATAAATATCCAACTTATCTCGTCACGTCACTAACGGTAGTTTAACTCCGGGGACCTTTTAGAACTATTTTCTAAAGGTCAGAGACCAAACCATCACTTTTTGAAACTCAGGGACCAAATAGTTACATATCTCTAAACTAAGGGACTAAAAGTGTATTTTACCCTAACTTTTAATACACTATGTTTTAACAGTGAATATCGATATTTGTCGAATGAAATCTAATACCTGATTCTACTAAAATCGAAAGTACCCATTTTTATGTCACATTAATTATGTATTTTGAAATAAAACTAATAAAAATTGGACTGGCTAATTTATCCTATATATCGTCGACATTATCAAAATATCAAGAAATTCTCGATATTTGGTGATATTTCCATAAAATATCACTAACATTTAAAAAAGCATTAAAACTAGAAGGGCAGAAAGCCCCCACCCATATCATTAAGGGCCCAAATGCAGATCACTAAGTTTAACACAGAAAATGAGAGAGGAAAGGTTTATGGGAAATCCTTAAGAATGGCTACTCACATGCTATCGTTAAGCAAAATGACCAAAGTTTTTCTAAATTGCATGACATGGCCAAAGTTGGTTTCCTAGATTTTAGGGGAAGTGTATAATTCCTTATTTATCCATCTACACATTTCATGCCCACATTTTCCTTGTAGTCTTTCTCCATTTTACCCATCCACGTTTTATGTCTCCTACATTCCCTTAAATCTCTCCTAGAGTTAATATTGAAACCACCTTAACTACAAAATCTACATAATTCCTAAAATCTTTCCACAAAATTTAAACCACAAAATCTACATATATCATACTTAATATTGAAACCACCTTTAACTACAAAATCTATATAATTCCTAAAATCTTTCCACAAAATTTAAACCACCAAATCTACATATATGATTCAAACAAGTTTAAAATGTGTTTAATTTTTTTAAACAAACCTAACTAATTGGTTTGAACATTCCACTGTAATCAGCAACCTTAAATACAATGTTTCTTTAATATTCTTACACAACGTATCATTAATCCCCACCCATTTTATTTTTACATTTTCCAAGAATTAAATCAATCAACGCGGGAACATTATGTGATCATTGTTAGCCACGGAGGAGCACAACAATTATCAAGGGTTCATTACCAAGCACGTTTCAATTCCATTTGATTTCACCCTACAACAACTCTGTGAATGTATCTCTAGAGATCTTCTAGAAGGAAAAAAAAATACACGTCTTTCACTTTTCAAAAATGGTACTAGCAAGTCGATAATTATGAGGATGTTAGTAGATAGGGACGTGGCGTGGGTCATATCCTTGTTGGCAGATGTTAGGTGCAGCGACTACGGCATAGTTGTAGATACTGACCCCGTATATAACACCATCTACGGGGGTAGTGAAAGTTCAGACACTGAAAATAGATTGAAAACTATCTGCAGAAAAGGTAACCAAAACTAACAAAATCAAAAATGCATATTAGCAATCAAGGAAACATATATTAATATTTACCTAAGAAGAGATACGATGAATGTATAAATATATAGCTACTAGAGGATATCTCACAAAATAAGCAAGAAACGTCAATACAATGGGGTAGATATAGGATTCTATAGAGTAGATGACCATTTTGACTGGGTTATCCTTGTCCATCAACATTCATGACTAATATGCCACGATTATTACATTCTACGAAGCTGCATTTTAATTCTTGATATATGAGAATTAGTCATCGAGTTAATGAAACATTACTCGAAAGAATCTTCCTATTGCAGCAAACACAGTTCTAAGAAAATTAGATTATTAACGAAAAAAGAAAACTCCACAAGATTCAACCATTGAATCAAGCCATAAAAAAAATTCGTCTGGTAGAACCAACAAATAAAAATGTGTATTCCTAATATTGTTAAAATTAATTAGTTTCTAATGAGTATCAATTAGTACCACATAAGTATCAATTAGTTCTACGAGAATTTAATTGGATGTTCTTGATTTTTTTACAATAAATTTTAAATATTTAACATTAAAATGGTTACATTGAGCTAAAAAACATCGAAATTGACAAGTTTCAGGTACTAATGATATTTATTGAAACATCAGAATTGAGGTCTGTGTTTAAATTTATTGAAATTTGAAATTTAAGATGAGATTTAAGATTGAAAATTTATTTTTTTATTTTTTTTGCAAACTAAAGTACCTGACATTCTAATTTTAACAATATTTTTTATTATTTATTATTTAATCTAAACTATATTTTCAATATAATCTCCCAATTGACCATATGTACAAGGTGTCCTAAAAACAGGTTGTGTCCAACAAAAGCCCTTGAATATTGGAGGTTGCTAACAAACAGTCAATTATTTAAACCTCATTTATTTAAACAACATTCAAAATCGATCGATGAATACCCTTGTTGGATAAGCAAGAGTGGGAAGATGGATGCCAAAGATTGTGTACGCCGAAGAGGGACGCTGAAAGCTTGAGGTGCACGAGGCTTGAGGGGCTTGAGACTTGAATGAATCAAATTTTATTTGATTTTAGGAAGKAAGAGTTAGGGCAAGTGTGGTAAGAATGAGTTAAAAGGGCAAAAGTGGGAAGGAGTCATTTGAGTTGCCCTCCCTTCCATAATGGATCTTAATATGGTATTAATGTTCAACTACTTCATCTATAATTTTAAAAACAGTACTTTACCGTTTCAATCTTTATTTTTCCACTTTTCTAATTTGATTTTACGTTTTTTTAGTCTATTTTACACTTTGATTCAATCTTTTTTTTTTTTAATTTCAAACTATTTAACAGATTTATCTTAAAAATTTAGAAATTTTGAAATCTATATGTTATTTAAAATTTTTGAACTCTATATTTCCATTCACTATTTTTTTTCCTACAATTTAGGTGCAGATTTATTGAAGGGTAGTTTCGTCACGAATTTATAGGGGAAGTGATAGGATAAATTTACTTATTTTGATGGGAGGGTAAATTTATCTAGTAGTTCAACTCTAACTGTTTTTAGCTATTTTTATGATATTCGATTATTTTGACCATTTTTCAAATCAAAATATTTAATTTAGCTATTCCTATTGTCCATGTTTTATTTACATGGATCTCTCCTCCCTTCCCTCCCCTGACTTTTGATGGATAAACTATTTTTTTTGTTTTTTATTCTCAAGTTCAAATTAACAATTCTTTCTCTCTCATTATTTTTCTCCTCTTTTCCTTGTTTTTCTGAAGAGATAATTCACACATTTAATTCATTCTAATATTTTATTTTATTTTTTATATTAACTAAAATGAGATTTCTTTCCTCTATATCTATATTTCATATTTTTTAAATTATAAAATTAATATAATAAATTAAAATTAAAATAATAGGAACTAATTTTAAAAGTTTTCATTAAATTTTATCTATTTATTATCATTTTATCTAAATTATTTTTAACGTCAACATTTCCATATAATTATTACTATGGATTTATTAACAAAATTATTTGAATTTGTTAATAAAACTATATAACAAATTCAAATAATTTTCATAAATTTTTATTATTTCCAAAAATTTTTCAAAATTTTCATCAACATCGATATTTCCAATCGACATCAACATTTTGGACGTTGTTATCAACTATAAATACTGTCTACTTTCAATTATTCTTCACGATTTCACATCCAGACTCATTTGGTCTCAAATTAAGCAGCATTTAACTTTAATTTGCCAATTCAAATAAATTTCATTATTTTGGTTTGACATTTCACTCGAGGTCGACATTTTCATAAATAAGTTATTCATTTTCTTACATATGATAGCTAAAATTGATTAATTATAACGTACTTAAACTGCCATTAAAGTTTATTTACTCATTCAAAAAATTTGTATCAATATCCACAATTTCAGTGATTTTTCTTGCAATATCGATTCACGTTGACATATCCATCGATACATCCGTAAAATTAGAATCTCAACATTTTTGTCGACATCGATATTTCGAACCTTAATGTGCAATATTTCAAATCAAAATGAGGTCGTAGGTTGAATTTCCACGTCTTTTTCTCCTTAAAAAAAAAACTAATCAAAAGCAAAATTTCTGAAAATCCAAGTAAAATTGAGCGACCTCACAGAAGACCACATTCAATGTCCAAAAAGGAGGTGAAAAACCGTCAAATTACTTGGTGGTCAAATTTGCTTGCGAACTTCGAATATCTGATATTTTTCGGGCTGCCCAAACTTCTACCAAAACGCTCCACGAGGAAACGGAGCTCAACAAGCAGATCGGCGGGCGAACTCTGTTTCCGCACCGGCGATTTGCTTCCTTGAGGCTCTACAATCCGACTATCCCTACGGTAATCCAAATCCCATGTTCTTCCAATTACTGCTGAATTTTTCTCCAACACTATTTAGTTACAGTCTATTGGAAAATCCCAGATCTGTTTCTGTTTTGATTTCTGCCGTGTATAACGTTTTGGAATTTGTTTCTTTCGTTTACCCTGTAGCTCAAATTGAGGTGGTTTTGTCTCTATTTGTGTCAATAATGTTTGATCTAGTAGTGAATTTATGTTTCGAGTGAGCGTACACTAGTTTTGTAATTTTTCGTCTGTAGATATTGTCATGAACGTGTGTTTTTGCAACTTGCAACTGGGAGTCGCGACTGAATTCTCACATGACAGTCCATTTTTAGCGTTTGTTTGTAAGCACTATGCATCGTATGAGTTGATTTTCGCTAGATCTATAATGGGTACCTTTAATCAGCAAACATTAAAACGAGGTGCGGGAAATGAAGAACATCTTAATTGGTTGTTGGAGTCTATTGATAAGAATTATTGATTATATTGGTGTTTTTCTAATGACTGAACTTTCCTTTGAATTAATTTTGAGCAATGGCATCAATTTTGCATAGTATTTTGATATAGTTTATTTTTCTATCATAGATAAATATATAAGGATACTTGCTAGAGATTGGAGGAGAAGGGTAAAAGAAATAATAGGGTGAAAAGAGATCCTTTACAATGTCTTCACAGAAGATTGAAACTGGCCACCAAGATATGGTCCATGATGTACAAATGGATTACTATGGCAAACGCATAGCAACGGCCTCCTCTGATAATTCCATTAACATTATTAGTGTTAGCAAAAACACTGGTTCGCAAATCTTAGCTACATTGAATGGTCATAAAGGCCCAGTTTGGCAAGTTTCTTGGGCACACCCGAAGTTTGGTTCAATGCTAGCTTCCAGCTCTTACGATGGTCAAGTGATAATATGGAAGGAAGGCAATCAAAATCAATGGACGCAGGCTCATGTTTTCAATGCACATAAGTCTTCGGTGAACTCCATTGCCTGGGCACCCCATGAACTTGGCCTCTGCTTGGCCTGTGGATCATCTGATGGAAGCATATCAGTCTTTATTGCCAGATCTGATGGTGGCTGGGACAATAATCAAATTGAACAAGCCCACTCTGTGGGAGTAACCTCAGTTTCATGGGGCCCTACGACGGCTCCTGGTTCCTTGGTTGGATCCAGTTTGGTGGACCCTCTTTGGAAGCTAGCTTCTGGGGGATTTGATAGTACAGTGAAGGTATGGACGCTACAAGATGGAATCTGGAGGAGGGATAGCTCCCTTGCCCTGCATACTGACTGGGTGAGGGATGTGGCTTGGTCACCAAACCTAGGGCTTCAAAAATCCACCATTGCTAGTGGTTCCCAGGACGGGACAGTGATTATTTGGTCTGTTGGAAAGGAAGGAGGGAAATGGGAGGGCACAGTGTTAAATGATTTCAAGACTCCAATTTGGAAGGTTTCATGGTCACTGACTGGAGACTTATTGGCTGTTGCTGATGGGAATAACAATGTTACATTGTGGAAAGAAGCAGTCGATGGTAAATGGCAGCAAGTAACTACAGTTGAGCCGTAGGTTATCCATTGTTAGTCCTTTTCATTTCATTATGTTTTGTGTCTTATGAGGAGTATGTTGTTCAATATTGTTAAAAAATTTCCTTGTACTTAGGTCACAAGCTTTTGTACTATCATTCCATGTTTTCATAACTTCTTAATCAGATTTTAGGGGTGAGGCATAAGTAATATTTTCTGTTGTTATTTAAATTCTCTAGTTCTGGCTCCCTTTTCATTGATTGACCACTGGAATTCTATTCTGTTATGTTTTTTTTTTCCTTCTATAAACAATAATGAAAAGAAACCAACTTTATATTAAGAAAAATTTGAAGACAAATACAATGGGGGCACATGAAATGAAGGCCAAAGCAACTCAACAGGAAGACAAACACGAAGAAGAACAACCTATATACAAGTAGGCACTCTATTTGTGAGTGACAAGAAAAATTAAATATCTTGAAACAAGACAGAGACCAATACCTTTAGAAAGGCATTGATGCCCACTGCATTCCAGACCTTGGCCCGTAAACATATCTATCATAAAAAATCTTTCCATTCATCTCCAGAAAGATGCTCGACAAAATAGACCAGAAGCTGACCTGTAGAAGAAATTTTGCATTGACCAAAATGGAGACCTGAACCACTTCCTCTAATCATGTTACATTTATAATCCCAATACTTTTTTTTTTTTGGTTAATATTCATTTTGATTTCTAGTTGCTAAGTTAAGCAATGATTCCAATAACTAATGCACAAGGTCTATATGAGGATTTATGTTTTTAACTAATGCTTGGGTATTGTATTAGAGATTTCTGGGACAGGTTAATGGAGAAGCTTTCTGTGGTGCTAAGCTGTGAAAGAGAAGACTTTCAAGGTAAGCCCACCAGTTTGGTTGGATTTTGTTTTGACTCATTTGGATGGAAACTGACATTCCACAAATACTTGAGTCTTTCTTTGTTCACTCTCTTCCCCAAAGTTTTGTCTCTTAATTGTCCCTTTTTAGTTGGGTCACCATCCACTTCAAAATATTCTTTTGTGTTTTTGGATTTTTGTATTATGATGTTAGATCATTTTCTCCAGGGAAAAAATCGGGGTTGTTAATTGAAAAAAGGAACCGTATGGATGAGTTTGTTCGTCAAAAAATCTTTATAAGAGAGCTTGGTGTTATTTGAGGATGATATTAAAAATAAAAATGTCGAAATCGTAATGTTTGTGTTTTTTATTGTTTTCTGTTTCTTTTTTTTTTTCTCTCTCTATCAAGAAAGATAGTATTGCATTATTTACCAAACATGTAATCATTTCTTGTTCAATTGTTGTTTAAAATTTTTGGATTAAAAGAAAACTAGAAGTTCTATATTAAAATTTATTTTTTTAAATTAAATATTCAAAATGTCGTCATATTTAGGGTTAAGTTTAAGAATAATGTAATTTAATTTATTTTTTTAAATTAAATATTCAAAATGTCGTCATATTTAGGGTTAAGTTTAAGAATAATGTAATTTAAAAAACAAATTATAAAAATAATGTAGATTTAAAAGTAATAACAAAATAAATGTAATTTATATGCATTCAAACTATTGACAAAAATAGGTTAGGTATTAGTCAAAATAAAAAATGAACAAATTGAAAATACGATAACCTATGAAAGAAGGGTCAATTATGAACAAGCAAACCATTGCTAAACAAGTTCATATTGTGAATTAGTTGATAAAAAAAGAATATTGAATAAAAGTCGCAGCCAATTGCGGTTATTGTCTTTTTAATTTGAGAATCAATTACCAAAACAACAAAAATTCTCGCGCAAATATTTGTCTCTCTCGCTTCTGTTCTCTTTCTCTTCTTTCTCTTTCTTTCCCTCTCAGTTATCGTTTTCTTTTTCTTTTCCCTCATTCTTTTTCTTCAATCTCATTTGATTCGGGATATTTTCCAATAAGAAAAAATGAAGTTCCTTATATTGTACAGAATCCAAATAGCTTACTTCGTTAGTCAAAGAATGCTCAAAAGTTTTTACGAAAAAAATAAACATAGGAGAGAGAGATTTTTCGTTGATTCATGCAAAACCGGAAAAAAAAAACGAAACAGATGAGAGAGGTTTAAAGTTTGAGAAAATTTGAGGAAAGAGAAAGTTTGAAATCCATAAATTCTAAAAATTTTGAAGAAAAAAAAGGAGAAGTTTGAAATCCGTAAAAATCTAAAAAATTTGAAAAGAAAGAAGAAAAGAGAAGGGAGAAGAACCACCGAGAGAGATGAAGGAGAAAGAGAGAGAAACAATTTTAAGTATGTTAATGGAGGGGTAGGACATTAATTTGGAATGGATGGTGATTGATGTCAGCAAATGTTTACAAAACATAAAAATGAGGAGATGAGTCACATTTCATAATGGGCCTTTCAAAAAGGCTATTTAGTCCGAAACCCCGTGATTTCATCTGTGTTTATTTAGTTTTGTTACATATGCTATGGAACTACT